AAAAAAAATAAATAAATAAAATTGTGGTTTAAAACCTAACAAACATTATTGATTTATTTTTGCACCCTTATAATATTTCAACAACATTTCTTGTTTTAACTTGATATTGTATATAATACATGTTCAGATGAAAGGAAGTAACTTGTGTTTGGCAAGCACTGCATTATTAAAATTAAATATGTTTTCAATAAGATACTGAAAAAAAAATCTGTTAGTGAAAAGTATTTTCTTCTTAACTTTCTGCAATGCCAAATGTATCTCCAATTATAGAATCACCCATATACAGAGGAAGATTTTAGCCCCTTTCACACATACAGTCTTCTCTGGTAAATCACCGTTAAGAGATCATAAGCATGAACACAGGACCTTTTCAAAAATACCGTAAATTTGTTCTGGCAATCAAACTATCCTTATGGAGATAACATGAATCTTTGAAGAATCTTTTTTTTCTGCAGCCAGAGATCAGGCACGGTGCCAGAGAACTTTAAGCCCTAAGTTTAGTTTCTTGGAATTCTCCAACGGTAACTCCATGACATGTTTGTTTTGATACGGCTAAAACTATGACACATATAATATTAACACAACACTTTAGGCTATACTTTTTACATGATATGTTACAGTGATTCAGATCAGAGTTTTATAGGGAACTTTACCTTCCTTTGATTTGAATCGAACAGTTGCTGTCTGCCCGCCAGAAACAGGGTATTCCACATCACAGTCACCTCCGTTGGATTTCTTACTCTGGAAATAGACAATAAGCTTGTTTTTTAGTTTGGGAGTGCGGGGATCCCACTGGCCCTCGACGCAGAGAGTGTATGGGAACTCAGCAGTAGCCATGTCCACCTGTCCTCTGACTGAGGTGTTTGTCTAAGTTAGTGTAAAGACTACAACTTTCACTTTTAATTTCTCTATATATGGCTATGCATCAGTCAGAGTTTTTCCTAACATCATAACATAGCCTGCAGTTTCAACTAGGGGTGGGCGATAATGCAAATTTTGGTATCGATACGATACCAAGTAAATACAGGGACAGTATCACTGATACTGACACCGATACAGATTCTTTTAAAAGCAAGCATTTGAATGAACCAATTAGACTTAAAAAAATAAATAAATAACAATAACCAGTTCTGGTATTAATAAAATATTGCATTCACCTTAAAAGCTACATGGATATTCTTTGCCTTTTTGAAATGTCAGTGACTTCTGTTTCAGTGAGACTAATTTTAAAATACCAAACTCATACACCTTACTGATGATGCTATATACAAGAAAGCATATGAGACCAGAATATGAATGCAAAGCGCTAAATTTCACATTAAGCGTTTTCCTCCGATAGAAAACCATGACATAGAAAACACCTAGCCTGGGCTTAATTGACAAAGACAGTGATATAAAAGGGCCAGATTCGCTAAATTACACTGTAAATGTGGATATGTGTAGTTGTTGTCTTATAGGGATAGTCCACTCAAACGTGATAATAATAAATTCATCAGTTACTCACCCTCATGCCAAACCTGTATGACTTCATCAGTGAAACAGAATGTTGCAGTTTTGCATCATATAATCAGTGACTGGTGACTGGAGCCTGGCTTTTTAAAATTTCCTTTTCAATGTGCATAGCTGTCATATACTGTATATATATATTTTTTTTTTGGTCAGTCATGGGTTAATTACTTTAGTCAAATAATCCTGAAAGAATGCTTTTGGGTTTTCTATCGGAATTTGAAAGCAACCTGGTAACATTTTACAATAAGGTAACATTAGCTAATGCATTAGTTACCATAAACTTACTATGAGAAATATGGGCCTACTTTTTGAGCAAATATTAAAAATTGTTAATGTTGCATTTAGCTTAAATCTATATTAATTACTTTAGCAGATACATTCAAATGATTTACAAATAAGGAATACAACAAATGATTCATCTTAAGGATGCAATAAGAAAAGAAGTGCTAGCCATACAAAGTTCCAAACACTGTTAGCATAGTATAAGCTGGAACATGAAGTGATTAAGAAAAAGTGAAATAATATTAATATTTCAGGGATTCCACATTGTGGAATGTGATTTTGTGTCTCTTTTTTAAGGTACCACAAGGCACCGCTCACTTGTTTATTAAATTCATGTTAACTATCTGCTAATGTTAACATATGAAACTTTATTAAAAATTTCTTAGGATTCCAACAAAACACAGACAAGAAAATGTAGTTCTCAATGGGACTATTAAGATTACAAAAAGTAGAAAAGCCCATCTCTAAGACATTAAAAGGAATTTCAAGAAAATAATTTGAGTTCTCAGTGTAGTGTCTTTGGACTGTCTAGTAAGACTTTAGTTCAGTACAATGAGTAGGGATCTGATGAACATTACATAATATTCAATAGGATTCTAAAAATGAAATCCAAAGTTTCACTTTATCTAGTAACATATTATTTGATACTTAAATACAGGCTTATTTGATCCTATTAGTATCCTTCAGCATTAGTTCAAAATTAACAAAGAAATCCCAATAGAAATCATGTACACATTCCAATAGTATATTTTGACTAATGAATCTGTGGTTGAATATTTTATTTTTATAATGGTCAATACGTCATAGAGTCATAGAGGTCTGTGTCCTCAGGAAGCCATGAGTGACAAAGAACAGGGTCTGGTGCCACTGGTTCCAGAACAGGCTGCTATTCTGGCAAAGTGTGGAAAAGCCTTTTGTCATGCTGTTAATGTCAAATTTGATTGCATGGCTATTCTCTGCAATATGGAAGACGCTGGCTCACTTGGTAGTAACACAACTTGTGTTTTAAGTCCTGAGAAGAGGTACTCCACAAATCTGTCCAGCGGAGTCAAAGTGTCAGTCTGGAAACATGATCTTACACATCATAATTGGACGCTGTTGTCATTGCAGCCAATGAGAAGCTAAAACATGGAGGTGGTCTTGCACAAGCCCTGAGTGATGCTGGGGGCCTAAAGATCCAGAAATGGAGTGATGATATTATACAAAAAATGGAAAAGTGAAAGTTAGTGTGGCTGTGCTCACTTATGCTGGTAATCTCCCATGTAAATATATCATACAGTACATGCTGTTGGTCTCCAAGTGTCTCCAAACCCATCCAAGTCGGAGACTGATAGAGCTGCACCACTTTTATATAACGCTATCAGTAGTATCATGCAAATCATCTTAAAGAACAACATTTCATCCGTTGCAATTCCTGCTATGAGTTCTGGCCTTTTCCATTTTCCAAGAGTTCAGTGTGCAGACATTATTGTAAAGACTATAAAACAGTTCGTTGAATGTGCAAAGTTTCAAGGCAACTTAGAAATCTATCTTGTCAATAATGATGAACCCTCTGTCAAAGAAATGGAGAGAGCAGCTAAAGCGATTTTATGGCAGTCCAGCATCTCTGGGACATAGAGTGGAGCTGTTCAAGGCATCATGCACCGATTTTTGTAATTTGAACAGTATTTTCACTGTAATATTTACAGTAAAATACAGTATTTTACTATAAACAGCAAAGGATTATGGGAAAAAAGTGTAATTATTGTAATAAACTAATATGTTGCAAGTAGGGCTGTGAATCTTTGGGTAGACAGCGATTCAATTCGATTCACGATTCATAGGTTTTCGATTCGATTCAAGAACGATTTTTGCAAATTTAGAATGATTCAATTCGATACTTACTACTGAGCCACAGGAACATGGAACACTTTATGGTTACAGAACCATAGGTTAAAGGGAAAAAAACACTTTTGTCTATTGTTAGATGCTAGTTTAATGATGCTATGGCATGACATGGCATATGTAGAAATTTATGTAAGAAATTACATAACATTATGTACATGTACATAATATACATTATGTATAGGCTAACATTTTGTCACACCAGGGGTGTAGCCATCATTTCAGAAGTGACAGAAATGACAAATACAATAATTTTATGTATGTATGTATTTTTTTATTTTTTTTTACAAGGAATTATTTTCTTATCTCTT